TTGGAGTAAGCGGATTGCGATCCGCTACACTCGTACTGGTTCTAAGTATAGAACGAAGATTGCCGACCTTAAATAAGCTTCCTTTAAGCGAAAGAGCTACGGGAGCTGCGCTGCACTATGTGTAAACATAGCTTTTTCATAAATATATCAAGACTACCGTAGCGTTTGTTTCACCGTACACTATCATATAAAATCTTTGGAAATGCTGAGTCTCGATACATCTCTACATTGAACCATCAACAGTTGAAGTTTTCAGCAAGGTTCACAGGACATGAAGTGATCCTGCTTATTTAGTCAAAGTGCAAGTATGCGGCTTGCTCTGACGTCAAGACTTGCATATTTGAATGCAGGTCAGGTCAATTCGTCTGTCGTCGAAAATCATCATCAACGGGCTCCGCATTGGTGACCATTTGGTGTAACTGCATGTTTTTAGTTTTGGAACTGCATTCTTTTGACATGGACATTTTGTGACTTAACAAAATAATCGTTGGCTGCAACAAATATATACTGGTTGATATTGGTAAGTAATTTATTTGATATTTCAATCACAAATGCGCGAAAATTCCACCATTGTTGCCCTCCTGTCCTCCGCTGCAAGCGTAGGTCTGACGCTGTATGTGTTAAAGCTGCGTGGAGATATTGCTGCTTTTATAAAAGGCAAGGAAATACCGAAGGGTTGTCTTGAGACGAAGGAGCACGATGGCAATGGCGATAGGCTCTGGACTGCTGAGGACCTTATTGCCATGCGCCGCAGCATCTTTCCTCCCGACTATGACAGCGAAAAGAAGGTGCTTCGTGAGGTGCTGGACAAAATGCTGACAGCAGCTAATTGGGCGCCTACGCACGGCAAGACGGAGCCTTGGCGTTTTGTGGTGTTTGAAGCACTTGAGAAGCGCCTAGAGCTTGGTCAACTAATGGCTGACTGGTATAAGGCCAACGTACCTGCAAAAAAATTTCTTGAATCGAAATACAACAAGATGATTTATAATTGCCAGGTCTCATCCCATGTTATTGCTATTTGCATGAAACGCCAGAAAAGCGGTAAGATTCCAGAATGGGAAGAGATGTGCTCAGTTGCCTGCGCTGTGCAGAATATGCATCTGGTAGCCACGGCACATGGCGTCGCAGCGTACTGGAGTTCTGGCCCGGCAATCACACTAGCGCAAGATATGAAAAATCACTTAAAGCTGGAAGAAAAGGATAAGTGTCTCGGTCTCTTTTACGTAGGTATGCCAAGAAAAGATGTCAAGGTCATAAAGGGATTTCGCAAGCCTATTGGAGACAAAGTTACTTGGGTATCGGCGTAATCTAAAATATGGTCCTTAAAGTCTTTCGTTTTCAAAGACGTAAATGATAGACCTTGAGCTGTTATAAATGTTTCACTTTGAATGTAATATTTATTGCGTCAAAAAAAACGTTTTCTCACTTGGCAGGCAGCGGGTGCATAAGACCACGTTGGAGGCGAAGTGAAAGGAGCCGTGGTGGTTGGAGCTTTAGTGTGCTGAACCGGTGCAGGAGTTGTGGCGGTTGGAACCGGGGTAGCAGTCTCCCCAATTTTAGGCATACCTAGCTCCCTGACAAAGTATCCTTGGTCCCATAGAAGCTTGAACCCACCATAGAAAAATGAGCCGGCTGATTGTCCACCCCAGCAGTAGCCATCACTTTCACCGGGAGGTTTAATCCACATATAGTAGTCCAGGTTTGAATAACCAGTGCTAGACGTTGGTGGCTTGCCGACACCGGCAGTAGGAATGTTACACCAATCATTCGTAGGAGAGCCATTGTAGTTACGGCTCGTATCTACAATGCAGGACATTTCAGTGGACCCAACTGCGGTCTGAAAGTTTGTGCAATATCTAGCACACTCGTCGTTAGAGCGATAGTTTGATGTGTTGATAGTTATCCCCTTCACACGTCCAGATCTTTTAATGTCTATCATAGCAGCAGCAACTTTTGCTGCAAGGTTGGTGTATGCCAACATCCAATACCCGACGTCAAGATATAGATGTGCGTTGGGATTCACTGACAGCGCTGAAACCGCAACCTTGAGGTTTGCAAGGTATCCGGCAGATACACCACATCCATTCTCCTCAGTCAAAAGACCAACAGCATCGGGCTCGACAACGTAAAGCACCTTGCGAGTACCTATGGCATCAGTAAGGTCCTTGAGAAAAGCCTTGTAACTGCTCGTGCTTGACACGCTTCCTGCTGTTGAGAATCCCCCCGAACAGTCTTTTTGAGGAATGCCATAAACAACGATACTGAGACGGGTGTCAGCTGGACACTGGCTAAGCATCCGAGAAATTAAATCAGTTCGTTCTTCTTTCGACGATCGATCTGTGTACCATGACGCGATTGCGTACTTCCTTACCGTCTTCAATGCAGTCGATAGCTCAGGGTAAGCTGTAATTGCTTGTGTATAAGAGTAAGGAACTACGGAGCACAGGTCCTCAGCAAAAACCAATGGAAAAGAGAATACGACATATGACAACATGGCAATCACCAGACTCGAGCTCGACATGATGCCGAATAGCGAAGCTTGATATACCATTCTACAGTTTCAAGATGTTGATTGGAATTGGTTAATGATCAAATGAAGGCTCATTTCATTTGAGATGCATAACAATCAACGGTTTAGCCGAACTAGAAATTTCAATGTGCAATCGCAACACCATCAAAATTTCGGTTTTAGTTTCATCGCGAATGCCGTTGCACACTTAGCACGTAGGCTTTCTGCATGTAGACAAAATTCATGTATTAATTGTTGATGTAACAGCTTGCAATGGGAGTCTCCTAATTATTATCGGGTTATGGGATCAGAACACGACTTGCGACTGCGCGTTCAATCCTCGATTTTTAGGTATATAGGCCATTTAGAATTGATTTGCGAAATGATAAGCCGTTCATCCAACCATAATATAAATTAGCAACAGATATATTGGTACCTTATGTGCTGGGCGCGTGGCAATTACGCAGAATCGCTCGCGTCTTGAGATCAGTGCGACGCTGTTATCTCAATAAGTATGAAACTGCCGGTTATTCTTGAACTCGAGTTCGGGCGGGACTTCGATTGAAGAGACGAATGGACACTGACGATCTGATTGATTCTACACTCATACCCGACGAGAACGGTGTTTTGAACTTGCAAGAAAACCATTGGGTCACACTTGATGAAATTGTGTGGACATATACAGATACGCTGCTGGTGCTCAATGTGTCGGACAACCAGCTCATCCATCTATCTGAATCGATTGGCAACTTGGAATTGCTTCGCGAGCTTCTGGTGGCGAATAATCGTATCACTACACTTCCTATCCAGCTTGCACGATGTGTGAATCTACGTAAGCTCGACTTTCGCTGCAATCGCCTTACGGTGATACCGAGTGAGTTGCATTATTGCAGACAATTGGTGGATCTCAATGTGTCGTATAATGACATTACAATGATACCGATGGAACTAGGACGACTGCAAAACCTGCGCGTGCTCAATGTCGGCTACAACAAGCTTACGCAGTTACCATACACATTGTGTGATTGTTCATCACTGGAGCAGGTAGATTGCGAAGGAAACGAAGATTTGAAAGATATTCCCGATGGCTTACGCAATAACACAAAGCTTATGCTGTGGATTTGCAGCACAGTTAAGCGGCATCACATGGAGATTTCAGAGCTGATTGAGATCAATGAAAATTTGGAACGCATGGCGCGACTTTGCGATGAGGAGCGGTTTCAACTTTGTGAACGAATTGCTGACTTGCAGAGTAAGAAAGATGCGCTGGAAAATGAGCGACCACGGAATTATTTGCTCGTCAAGAAGCATGTAATGCGTGTCACCTCTGAGGTGTGCACTTTAATGTAATATATTGCACACGTCGCAGTTTTTTTACCCTATTTTATATGTTTTAATTTTGAATCTTTGTTAGCCGTCATTCTTTGATTCCCCCATTTTACTGCCGTCGTTTAAAACAAAGGGAGAGTAGTAAACTTGTTTTGCGCGCGCGAGCTCAAGGGACACTATGGACTTGCAGCAAGATGCTTTGGACGAAGCTTATCGCCGCCATAAACAATACTTTCAGGATTTTCTGGAGGATGAGGTGCATGAGATGGATTTTGGGGTCATAAGATGACATTGTTTTAACTTCATAAATTATTGACACAGGGAGGATATGGAAATTACTCAGAAAAGCTGCATAGTATGATGCACCAAAAGAGCTCGCGACTCGTTGTGGATCTAAATGATCTTCGCGAGTATGATTCATCTTTTACAGATCCAGCGGTAGGCAGTCAGGACAATATTGTTAGCCGTATACTGCGCCGACCCGCCGAATTTATACCACCTTTTGAAGAAGCCATCAAGGAGAGGGTATTTAATATCGACAGCTTGTATGGTAGCAAGGAGGCTGAAAGTACCAAGGACATGCAGTTTTATGTGGGTTTTGAGGGCGACTTTGGTCACCACAACGTAAATCCGCGAGGTCTCTTGGCTTCATATCTCACTCAGATGGTTTGTGTCCACGGAATTGTGACCAAATGCTCGGCTGTGCGACCGAAAGTTGTGCGATCTGTTCACTACTGTAAAGAGACCAACGCTATTTTGTCGAGAGAATACAGAGACAACACATCGATCACAGGAGCTCCAACATCGAGTGTGTACCCTACGAAAGATGAAAGTGGCAATTTACTGGAGACAGAATTTGGTCTTTCACAGTATAAAGACTACCAGATGATCAGTATGCAGGAAACACCCGAAACAGCACCTTTAGGGCAACTTCCACGCTCGTGCGAAGTGATTGTAGAGAACGACATAGTAGACAAGTGTAAGCCGGGTGACCGTATCCGAGTTATTGGTATCTATCGCCCGCTTGGAGGGAACAGCACGGCTGCATCTACTGCAGTCTTTCGGACTGTGCTCATCGCTAACAACATTCAGCTCATGGGTAAGGAAGTGAACGGTATTGTCATGTCATCTGGAGACCTTGTAAACGTCCGTGAATTTGCCAAGCGTAAAGACGCGTTTGAAATGTTGTCGCGCTCGATTGCACCGTCAATCTATGGTCACGCTGAGATCAAACAAGCGCTCCTGCTTCAATTACTCGGTGGTGTTGAAAAGAATTTAGAGAATGGCACACATCTTCGTGGCGATGTGAATGTGAGTATGTCGGTATTGGCATAGTTTACTATCGAAATGGCTAATTTTCGGTCTGATTACTGGTCAGATCTTAATGGTAGGCGATCCATCGACGGCTAAGTCCCAGCTTTTGCGCTTCGTAAGGACAATTGCGCCTCTAGCTGTCAATACAACCGGTCGTGGGTCGTCTGGTGTCGGTCTTACAGCTGCTGTGACGACTGATCCTGACACGAAGGAACGTCGTTTAGAAGCTGGTGCCATGGTTTTAGCTGATCGAGGCATCGTATGTATCGATGAGTTTGACAAAATGAGGTAAGCTTGACGAGCTTGTTATCGTAATGAAACTGCGGATTACGTGATCATGCATTACAGCGAAGCTGATCGTGTGGCAATTCACGAAGTTATGGAGCAACAGACAGTGACGATAGCTAAGGCGGGCATTCACGCTACATTAAATGCACGTTGCAGTGTGCTAGCGGCTGCTAATCCCGTGTACGGTCAGTACAACAAAAATAGAAAGCCACAGGAAAACATCGGATTGCCAGACTCGCTTCTGTCGCGTTTTGACTTGCTGTTCGTGGTGCTTGACCGTCTCGACCGCGATGCTGACCGTAATATTTCTGATCACGTCCTGCGTATGCACCGGTATACTTGTCCGGGACAGGAGGGTGTGCCTCTGTCGTTTGAAGTAAGCTCTACAGATCATTTGGCTCTGCTCAGCGAGGTGTCAGGTGACGAGTCAAAAAAGTCGATTTTTCAAAAATTTGACCCTCTTCTTCACGGCGGGCATCAGTCTTCGTCATCCGGTGGGAGTGGAAACGGCATTCTCACGCTAGATTTTCTCAAAAAGTACATTTATTACGCAAAGACGCGGTACCAACCCGTATTGACAGATAGTGCGATTGAGTTAATTTCTGAAGGATACGCAGAGCTTCGTTCGCATCAAAATGCGCGGACCTTGCCCGTGACGGCACGCAGTCTGGAAACGCTAATTCGTCTTGCCTCCGCACATGCAAAGGCTCGATTAAGCAAGACCATTGAAGTTGTAGACGCCGAAAAGGCCATATCGCTGATCAGCTTCGCTCTGTATCACGACGCATCTGAGCCTCTCTCGAAAAATGCACCGTCAAGGCCGGAGGAAACTCCCGAAGTAGAACGAAGTAGCACTTTGAAGTCAATGGCAGAGCTGGAGATTGGAACATCTGTGACGCCAGATCGGCCTGTAGACATGTCGAAAAAACGGGATCGAGGGTCATGGAGGTTTGTCTGAATTAAGTGGTCTATATTTTGATTGTGTAAACTAATCAGCACTGTTTGTATGTTCTTCAGCACTGCTGTGCTTGCAGACGATGTCTTGAGTGTATTGTCGGAACTAGGCACTGACATGAATGAGGATGAAGAAAACGATAGCATCAAGCTAACGGACATCTTGTCAAGGCTGAATGTTGGTCGGTCCAAAGGCGACACAGTTCCGCTTGCTGAGTTAGAAAAAGTCTTGGTTGATCTTGAGGAGCAGAATAAGGTCATGTATATCCAGGATGGTGGTGATCCGATGGTCATGCTTATTTAGGCAGAAGTAAAGGAATAGTTTATATAGTGTTAGAGAAAAAATAAAATAAAAAGAAGATTACACCGTGACCAGTATGTAAAATAACTATTTATTACAATCATCGCCGTCCTCCTCTCGTTTGACGTATTGAATAAGTGTGACGTTCAGATAGTCTTCTATGTTTTTAAAAGCAGCGAAGTGACTACAGGGATCATTTGTCGTTTCCTCAGCTGACATGAGAGCCGAGTCCTGCTTTGAGTTAGCCGCTTTGGTTTTGGTCAAAACATTTACGGCGTGCTTAGCCACATTAGACAGTCGCCTTGATAGCATTTTTTGATATTAGCCAATCAGCAGGTTCATCAAAGACACTACATGTATAAAACACAAAATTTGCATCTGAATTCGATGCAATTCCTCACCCATTAAGATGCTAGCCACCTCGCTCCGCCGCTATAGTGCCTATACCAGACTTCAAGGCCGCCGTGTTCTCTGCTCTACAGCTAAGGAGCGTAGTGCAAGAACCGCAATACCACTCGGCGTTGGCGTAATATCTGGTACGATAATGTTAGAAATTCGAATTTTACATCTCCATTTATGTCTGAGTTGCTCCACTAGGTGGCGTGGCTGGTGTGGTATCGGCACTAACGGGCGTCGGTGGAGGTATCATCCTCATTCCAGTAGGTACTTTCATTTAAGCTAAAACGCAAGATGTTAACTGATTTGATTCAATCTGGAGGCAATGGTCAAGTTTACGTCTTTAACGCAGCAAGCCATCAACGGTACGTCTCTTGGTTCTGTGGCCATTGCCGCCTCTGTTGGTGCGTGGAACTACTTCGAGGCAAAGACTTGCAATGTACCATTAGCTTTAGCCACTACCATCCCGGCAATCATTGCGACTAAATACGGCGTACGAACTGCTCATCGACTTACAAGTAAAGCCTTATCTTTCGTTGTGGGTTCAGCCATGCTGTTGTGCTCGCCATTAATTTTTCTTAAAAACAGCCAGTACATGCCTAAATGGAGCGATAGTCAGGATCCGTTGGATCTTCAGTTTTTTGTACCTCAACAAAAGGATTTGATCAGGGCATACAAGTCCAGTAGCGATGGTGATGAGCTTGCGTCAATTACCGCCAAGTCTGCTGAAATCTCTGCGGAATACGTGGAGCGTGTCAAAGCCAATTATATAGAATTTGTCATTATTAATGCCAAGTATGTCGTTGCTGGTGCGGCAGCTGGGTTTGTTTCGGGACTCTGTGGACTTGGAGGAGGTATTCTCATTACGTCCTATCTCACAGCTGCAAGTGATATGCCACAAGCTACCATCATCGGCACATCACTGCTGTCTGTAGTTCCCACGGCTGCGTCTTCAACCATTTTCAACTTACGTGCCAAGTCAGTTCACTTACCAACTGCAGTCCGAATAGGAGGCTCAATGGCTGCTGGAGCTTACGTAACTTCTAAGTACATCACACAAGGCGTACATGAAGACGTTCTGCGTGGCATACTGGGTGTCACACTTAGTACTGCAGCCCTCGTGATGATGCGCCGTGCATATTAAAGTCATGATCACTAACGATAGAACGTTTTTAATTGCGTCGAAACTGAGCTCTTTTACTTGTTTGTTTTCTTTTCGTATACTGGCTCAAATGTTTTTGGATCTACACCAAAAATTTCAACATAATCTACCGTTGGAATGCCCCAGCTTGTGGTCATCTGTACGAACACACGCCGCAACAGTATATTTGTCTTGCCATTAATCGTAGTCAATGCCAATACGTTGCCGTGCTGGTCCAGACGAATGACACAATTGCGATCACGCAGCGATGCAATTGTCGCCATGTATTCACCCGGCACATCGGACGGCTTGAACGCCACACCGTATGCCGTATTTCGCTCAAGCATATTCAGTTCTTCCCGCGGATGGCCATCTTTTTCATACATAATCCAAAATACTTTAATTGGCGATGTCTCATCAAGCAGCTTACTATCTGACGCCTTGTGTCCAGCATACACGACTGTATTCGAGTTCTATAAAACTACCATTAGCACCTTAAACACAACACAATAGCATGACTCACATTGCTACGCTGAATAATAAAAGCAACGTTAGGTTCCTCTTTTGCCACCATCTTCAAGCTCTCGTCCATAGGAAACAAGTATTTCGTTTCTTTCATCGCATTGGTATCAAAACTAGCAGCACTTTTCAATTATAATTCACCCCAATCGAATTTACCCAAGAACTTACTTTCCTGTCTTCACCTTTCGAGATTGTATCGTGTCATGTCCATTCTGCTTCAAGTGATTATGAGCACTAACCTTGTCTCTGACTGCGTCTGCTTTCGGCGAGGCCACCGTCTTGCTTTTGTTGTTTTGTTTCTTCCTCTTTTCGCTCTTATTCTTTGCAATCAGCGCCTGCTTCTGTTTAATAAGCATGTCCACACCTGCTAGTTCCCTCTCAATCCTTTTACGTCGTGCTTCTAAATCCTTCACCTCATCCTCCAACAGAGATGTCATATCGTGTTGCTCACGCCTTAAAGCTGCCTCTAAGGCCTTAATTTTGTTCTCGCGTTCATCCAACTCACTCTGCAGTGCGCTCACCACAAATTGCGCCTGCTCTGTCGTCTCGTTACCCCATAACCAGCTCATACTTAACACTAAGCTCGACTAGATTGTCTTGCTCTAATCGGCATTCGTGACGCACTGCTTCAGAAAAATTATTTAATCAACATTTAACTTATCAAGTCAAAAAATTATAATAAGAGCAGCACAGGCATATATACATATCAATACAATTGGTGTTACTTTACGAGAACTATGACGTTTAGTTTCTATTTATCGCCGCAGTTTGCGACTTTCATATTTTCGGAAGCTAGAGACAGCTTGATCGTCAGTTGCCTTGTTCTTGCCAGCTACTTTCATCAATATTAGTCAGCCATGTACAATAGCAATAGTAATAGAGCAGTTAGTCACCTTGATGAAATCCCCTCATGCGTTGCTCATCTACAAAGCATCAACCACCTATCATCACCTTTGTCACATCAAATGTCAGCCTCATTCTTCGTACCTTGTGCCAAGCTTTTCAATTCTGCGACATAGTCTGTCCTGTGACGATTGAAATCGGTGCTAAAGTTTCCTGGTACGACTGAACTTGCGAACCCTCCGATCGGATTTAGTTTTTTTGGTAAATTTGAGCCATTCTTTTCTAATGCCCTCATCGTCAGTGCTTCTGTCTTCTTCACGTATGAAACTGGAAGTTCCACCTCAGCGATCCCTGCATTACCCATCAGCATGCCTCCTTCTACTGCGTCGTCATTATTCTTGCTGCAACTTGGTACGTTTGCCTTTAAATGCTCTGGCAACTCAAATAGCTTGTCCTCTGCAGTTTTGAGAGCTGCAATAGCATCATCCACCTTTCCTGTATTATCATTGTTTGAGGACGTTCTCTTCTTCTGCAGTCGCTCTTCAATATATTTGTTCATAAGCTCCTCGTGCTGGTCTTTATCGGTCGTGGTACTCTGACCCGTAAATTGTCCATCTAACAGCGTGAGTAGCTTTTGATTGGTGGATCCGTCTTTTTTGGGGTCATGAAATCCATAATAACTTGTATCAGTCATCGTCTTTGTCTTCTTCTGTGGTTTTGCGACTGTATCTGGCTTTTGAGTGACTAGCTCTTCTTTCAGTATCTGGTCGCGCAGTCTCTGGTCCTCGCGAAGCTCTTCAATGGAGCGCTCGATACGTTCAATTTCATTACCTTCTTCTGCATCTTCATCAGGGTTGTTCTCAACTTCAGTATTCGGTCGGCGGGAGCGTTTACGACCAGCCGTTAAGCGCTTGGTCTTCTTCTTAAAGTTTACTTCCATTCAAAGATTGGATGATTTACTAGTAAATTAGAACGATAAAATTATAAAATTAAATATTACCATCATCTGTTTCTGGAAGTGGCTACAAAGTTGCTAGTGTCGGTTAGTTTTGCTGCATTTGGTCGTCATGCATGTGCGATCGATCAGCACATCAGAAAATGGCTCGATGAAGCACCTTTTGACGGTAATTGTGACTGAAAATATCATCAGTATTTAGTGAGGTTATCGACGTGCAGACCACATGACACTATCTATAAATAACTCAAGCTTCCTTTTTCTGTGTAAATGTCAGATGCCTGACTATGAAATAATCCTTTCGAATGCAATAATAATTTAAAGGACCGAATCATAGGTACTCACGAGTAGCGCTCAATGTAGCTTTCACAAGCTTAATTCTAGAAATGGAACGGCTGACCTGCTGGCAGAGACACGCGATACCACTTTAACTTTTATTTCGCAAGACCTGTAAGCGGTGATCAGTAACGATATATAGAATTGCCGACGATTTCGGTAGCTTGAGCGGAACCACTTCAGTCTTCTTTTTTATGGCATACATCTTTATGGCACATACGATAAGTGATTTTTTTCGAGTCGGGTACCAGGTATTATTTCAAACAATTATGACTGGGTTTTTCGGGTAAATCCACATTAAATTTTACAGGCGAGCGTTAACGACTTCCGATCCTTGTGCTGACAGCTGCTTTGTCCTTCGAGAAAACGAGAGACGTGAGCTATCCTAGCCTTCTCAAGGATCGACAATCCAGCACCCTCGCTCCGTGCGGGAGACGAAGTTGGGCTCTGCCCGTGCTCGCTGTCAGAACCAGCGAGACTTGGTGACTTCAGTGTCGTTAAAACAGGGTTCATTGAGCACGGAAGTCGTTTTTTTCCAACGAATTAAATCGCACTGTCTAGCGGACACGTGAGGCTCGTTGAGGCAATAATCGATGGGGGAGAGTGTAACGGGGTTACACGTACCTGGTAACAGGGATGTGTGTCACACGATATGTGCATGGTGTGACTGCACCCAAACAAGAATACGGTATGTGGCTAGGTAGCCATTACTTAAGCATGTTTTTAGATTTTTCTATGTATCAAGGAAAATCTAAACACTTAGAATTAGGCGGCTTTGCCGCAGATTAAAATAAATAAAGTCAGTTTTGAATCAAAACCGAAGAGTTAAATAGCCTTGGGTTAAGGCAAAAATTACTCTTGGGTAAAGCATATTGCGATCTGCTAGCTCGTACTTGTTCTACGTATAGAACGAAAGGTCGGTGACCTAAATCACGCTTCCTCTAAGCGCAACGATACGGCAGCCCTGCTGCAATTGTTGCGTATAGTAAATAATTCAAAAATTGGCAGTTTCAATTTCAAATATATGTCAAATTTGACGGAGATCCAGAGCGTTGACAGGCACTCGGATTCCTTCTGGGAGAGCATACGAAGCAACCTTCTGTGCGTTATTAGCACGGACTCTTGAAGTCAATGCTTTCTCTGTGCAAATTACACTGCAAACGCTTTTCACTTGGTAGCGCAAGTCTTTAATCCGACGGCCAATGCTTGATAGAAAGTGAGGT